GAAAACGTTTCGATTTTCAGTCGTCATCAAGCTATTTTTACGAATTTTTCTAATTTGCTATAAAGTTTTTCGGTTGGTTCTGCAGGTTTACGGCATTTATGTTTTCAATATCCAGTAAAGTTGGAGAATCACTTTTGCATAACTTTCGTAGTACCAGGTGTGTTCTATAAGTGGACATTTTTCTGGTTTTGAATCATAGTGCGGCTGTTTTCAGGATTTTTTTAATGTGCGAATGAATTTTACGGTTGCTTCTGTAGGCCTCAGCTTGATATTTATTGTCTCAGAAACAGGCCAAGTTGGAAATTCACTTTCCATGCATTCAACAGGGCAAAGTTTCTTCTATAAGTGAAAAAAGTTTCAATTTTAAGTCGCCGTGAGGCGATTTTTCAGATTTTTTTAACTGGCGGCTGTTTTAAAACGTTGTTGCTGTTCACACAGGCCGAAGTTTGGCAGTTATTTCCTCAGGAACTAGTCAAGCTGGATATTGAGTTTCCAGTAAATTTGGTAGGGCAAAGTGTGTTCTACATGAGGAAAAGTTTCGATTTTCAGCCATAATCAAGCTGTTTTCCAATATTTTTTAATTTGCAACGTTTTAGCAGTTGATAAAATTTTTAAAAAACCTGAAATTTATCAGCCCCATATTGAGGTCTACATCTGCACCAACAACTCAACCATCATCAAGGCAGTGATCATTTTCGCTGAAGGAATTTTCAGCGGCGAAAGCCACGTGGTCCATCCAGAACTATCCAGACTGGCCTCCGATATGTCCGTCCCCTTGTATCTCCCACGGGACACTTTCGTGGATATTCACCTGAAGGTTTGAGGCCTCACTAATGAGCTCGCTAGTAAATCACTTCTAATGCTTCCAGGCCTTGGTCGGATACCCAAACAGTATCCAGTTTCATGTCTTTGAGGTCACCAAGCAGCTACCAGCGTTTTCCATGTATGCCCTGGGAGTGAATGAGGAAGCCACCAGGCCTAAAGGTGGGTTAAATCGACAGTTTCCCCATCACCCAAACGGGGGGGATTGAATGTGGAGATTGCAGGGTTCGTCCAGTTCAAAACGGCCGAGCGTCTGCAAAGAATCTGCCTGTGGATAAACCAGAACTTCATTTTCCCGGACGACATCGAGTTTGAATCCGGGCCCACCTTGCAGCTCACCATCAAATGCCTACGGGACTCCACTGACTTGGTGATGCTCTTTGAAGTCTCTGGCAGAACCACCTTTTTTTGCAACAACATGTTTCTGGCCGCTGACCTGGTGCAGTCTCTGGCCGGGTACTTGAAGCTGGATAACTTGCAGGTAGTCCCAATCGGTCCATAGCCAAGCTATTCAATTTTATGGCAACGTGCAGTCAAGGGCGTCCTTCGAGCAAGAGGAGGACAACCTGAAGCAGCTGATGCAGAAGCTGAGCGACATCCAAGAAGCTCGCTTGAAGCTGGATACGGATGTAGCTGACCAACTGGGGCGCATCAGGAACCTGATAATCCGCGCAGAAGACTGCAGGATCAACGACATGTTAGTTGAATGTTCTTGTTATTGTAGGGTAAGATGAAAACAGTTTTCCAAACTGTGCTCCGCTGAGCCTATTTTCTGGCGCTCTTTGACTTGTTGCACTTTTTGCGCAAAGTAGAAAATATGTGCATCTAGAGGAATAAGTGTATCTTATTTATTCTTAGGGTGCCAATAACAGCTAGTGAAGAGTTTTTCGTAGTCCGATAATTTATAACTGTAAAAGGGATTTTTCTCATGTTGCTGAACTGGATTTTACGAAACCTAATAGAGCAAGCCTGTAAAGTTTCGTAGACCTTTGCACAAAATTAAATTGAAAACAGCGGTTTTTCGTGAAAAATTGCTTTTGCATTCGCGTCAATAGAGCGAACGTTTATGTATAAACAGCAGCAAACCCGACTTTCTGCCATTTTTTTCAAATTTGACGAACTTTTGAACACGAATTGCGAAGCCTCCAATGTTTTGTAGGCTTCCCTCAACAATCCGGTGATTGGAAACTATGATTTTTCGAAAATTTATGATTCAATGGCAAAATGTAACTGTTTATAAACGCAAAAAAACGCAACCTTTTCCAAAAGCCC